CTATAGTAATTTCTCTTACGACTCCTGCGGGAGCTTGCGCAAATGATTGGCTCTTTGGCTATGGCATGTTACTCGAGTGGGCTTATTGTCTACGTCAGTAAATGAAATGAAATGGACCTGAAGCGTTGAAGTTCTGCATGAGTACAGGGCGGCGGAAGTTCTCCTCGATTTCCTATGTTCGCTGTGCGGCATGAGAAAAATCTTTTTTAGTTATCTCGCAGCGTCATACTGCAATTACCGTGCTCAACCTGCCTTTCTGCGTCGATAGAACACTATATTTTTCGTTGACTGCTTTTCTTTTCTGATTGGTTTCCATTGTTTCTTTCTGTTTCTTTTTTGTTCTTATTATTATTATATTTTTCTATTATTATTATTATTTTATTTGTTTATTAGACTTGATTGTTCGGAATGACTCTTCTACTATAGACGATCTAGACCGCATTGGGATTGAAGACAGTGTCCAGCAAGTGTAAATAGGTAAAGGACTCCCTAATGGCATTTCTACGATACGCAGCGGGTGCGGTAAGCACGATGCGGTGTTCGGGGAGAAGATACTGCTTTCATAGGACTCGGGCTGCTTTCATAGTTCACGATTTAGCACGCGAGCGAGCGAGTTGTAAACAGAGGGCAAACGTCGCCCCCGGCTGGCGCGCTCCTTGTTTACAACTCGCTCGCTCGCGGGCCAAATCGTGGACTATGAAAGCAGCCACTGGGTGCGGGAAGAAGGATTGGAACAATTTAAATGGGTGTCAGGGGGAACGTCCGTTGCGCGCGTCTTTCGGAAGTGAGTCACTCCGCCCACTTCGCGCGAGGTGCACCCCACTGAGGTCTCGAGATGACATTGCAGTAACAGTGGAGCGAATGATTCACATTTGCCCGTTTTATCTCCTCTTTGGTTGACTGCCGTAGACCAAGCGCAAATCGTATGTTCCAGTGACAACTGCGACGTCCGTCAAGCATCGCGGGCTGACCAGCAGTATGCGACGGCTGCGGCGTGACCTACTTTCGACGGACGCACCCGAGTGTCAGGACCGAATTATCACGAAGGCGAGCCTTGCCTGACAATTTGTATGTGAAGGGAAGTTCCTAGCTCCAGTTCCTGAAGACCTATATAGTTAAAGTTTGGTAAGAGTGCAGACGACAGGATAGAAACAATAACGGTAGGTGGTAAGACCTAACTTCACCCACAGCGGGCGGAGTATGAGCAAGATTGTTATTTTGAACCTAAAGGGTTCAGATTTTATAGAAGTCTTGGGAAGAAAGTGTCAACACTTATGATAGGTGGTAAGACTTGACTCCGCCCACAGGGGGTGGGGGTGAGGGAAAACAGCCAAAATGGACCTAAAGCGTTCAAATTGGGTCGGAGTACAAGCTGCAGGATGAATATGGGGGTCACACGATCGAAATCCCCCCACAGGTGCGCAGGATGCACAAAATAAGTGTTTGAGGGAGATTCACGATTCCTTTTTACGTGGAACTAGAGAGTTAAAATTAGGAAGAAATAAAGGTGGCAGAATGAGGGACCGATAGTAACTGGTGGGACCCGATTCCGCCCTCAAAGGAGGTGCGTGCGTGAAAACTTTCAATTTGAACCGGGGGCTCAAATTAAGTTTGGGTTTGAGTTTGGTAGGGATGCAGGCGGTAGGATTAGAACACCGATGGTAGGTAGTAGAAAGTAATAGAACTGGATCCGGCTTGCGGGGGCGTAGGAGGTATGGAGTGGACCATGCATGAAATGAGCGTGACCTCAGTGAAAACACTCAGTAAAGTTGGAATAAGAGGGAAGTGAACCATGTTTCTTGAACACACAGGAAACAACACAAGGAGTGCCCGAGGTTAGGCGGGAGATACGACTGTCAAAACAATAATCCGGTTTGAGCCCGTTCATCTCCTTGCCAACAATAGGGGTCGCTTCGTTGCGCGTGTCCGTCGAAACTAGGTCACGTCGCAGCCGTCGCATGCGGCGGGTCAGCCCGCGATACTTGACAGACGTCGCAGCTGTAAGCGGGGCATACGATTTGCGCTTTCTCCACGGTAGTCAGCCAAAGAGAGATAACATAGACAAATGCAAATCGCTCGCTCCACTCACACTTGGTGGTATTGTGATGTCTTCCCGAGACCTCATTGAGTGCGCCGCGCACGAAGTGTGGTGACCTACTCTCGACGGACACGCGCAACGGACGTTCGCCCCAACAATAGTAGTCACCACAAAAATTCCATAAATGGAGCATTGAAAACTGTTCCTAGCCTGATGACTGTAACGGAACTTTTCCCCGACCGCGGCATTCTCCCTTGCGGCATGCGGCAGAGATGTCACTGCAATTACCGTACTCACCCCGCCTCCCCGCAAGTCGATAGGACGCGATATTTTTCGTTGATTGTCTTGCTTTTTTATTGGATTTGATCGTTTTTTCTTCTGTTTCTTTTTCGTTTT